TTCCCAATTTGTTTGAATGAAAACTAAAGGTAGAACTAGTGAGAGTTGTGGCGGAATAGATGGTTTCTTGGTTAAGTAATTATAACCAGCGAGAGTTATCGGCCAATTTTTTTGATTATATAGAAATGCGAAGGAGCTGTTGTTCTCAACGAAGATCAAAATAGGACATTCATTGTTTTCAGATCTGCCTCTTCGATATGCTATCAGTTTTAAATCGAAGTTGTAGTTCTCGTTTATACATTCCGTTCTATCTTACACTACCGTCTTATCTCGAGCCGCTTGTGCAAATATCACCGAGAAAGGTGAGAACGGGTATCTAGTAGTTGAAAAGCGACAGGCTTCCGTTGAAGGTTGTTGCAGATAATCCGCAGTTTGATTTGTGGGATGATTCGTGCTTCGAAGTCGTTTACTTGATGCATTATTTGGAATAGAAATACAATTGATTTGACCTTCCTGGTGTCGCTCTTGCGTAGTTGAGTCAGACAAACCACTGGCGTCGTTGCGCCCTCTTTTAGTACTAGAAGATATTGGCGTAAAAACGACTGTCGGATTAGTCACTATTGAATTAGGTAGATTCGTTATATCCGCTGCTGGTTGATCTACAAAAAAGAACGCTTGTTGTTGAGTCGTGTTGGAATGTAACATCGGCTGTTGCGCATAAGCGAGCATGTTACAGTTATTTAACTGTATTTGTTGATGAAGACGTTGCGGAAGAGGATGCATTATCGAATTAGCAGGGCAGTATTGATTTACTCTTGGATTGTTTGACAGCTGTTGCACATAAACGAGTGGCTGATGATTTTCCGTCGATTGCATGTTAACAGGAACTGTATAATAAACTATTTGGTATTCTTTCGCAGAATTTTCATTTAAAATGTAAACTGGTTGCTGTGTCTCTATGCTTTTATGAATGATTTCACTTGATGAGGTCATTAACCGCCTTTCTCTCAATTCTCAGACTGAGATTTCATGTAAGAAGACTCAATATAGAGTGTATATTTAAACGAGTGGAGAAAAGAAGGGTGAAGTATTCGAAAAGAATGCGTCTAGCCACTGTCGATGCGAGTGAGTGAATGACGAAGAGAAAACGAATTAAAAAGATAAGAATAGATGAATTTCATATATGCAAACTAATCACTCTACTTATTATAAATAGAATGAAAAGTTTTAAGTCATTGCACAGAATCGTAATTTAAAATTATGTGTAGTATAATATTATCCTATTCAACTATCAATCTGATATTTGCTTTTTCATCATTCATTTATTGTTTCTTCACTTATATTTGCCTAACAAACACAAGTCCATATCTAATTATTGTATTATCACTGGAAAATCTCTTTCTTCATTGCATGTATTACAAGACACCAATTCTATTTCTAATCACTGAAGTATATTGAGTTCAACCTAAGAAATATCAAAAAGAAAAGAAATTAGATTTAATTAAGAAGCACGTGGTTAAAAAGTGATTTTCTTCTGTTTGTACTATCAAACTGACAAAGATCTTATCATAAATAATGTCTGTCATACTTTTTCTGAAGATTTTTCTCTGACTAAGCTTTAGAAGTTTTGTCATTTCAACCCACTAGATTAAACAATTCTGATTGTCCTTCCAACCATGATCACCAGTTGATATATATAGGAAATATAAATCAAAGAATTAACTTTTAAAAACAATTTATTTCTGCATTTTGAAAATAATTATAATATTGTTTACTATTGATAATATCCTAAATGAGTAATAATCATCTTAGTAAGTAACGATTTAGGAATCCGTCGAATAATTAATATATGTGGATATTTGACAAAAAAAAAAATAAACAAACCAATCATATGTGACTCTAAAAGACAATTTTCAGATTAATCAATAGATATATCTCAATTAAACGAAATACATTTGATCTCGTATTATTCCTTACTACCATATATAATTAGCAATTAGTGTAATAAAATTATTTCCGCTTGAATTGAATATTAAAAGGAGTATGATATTTAGAAAATATTATATTTTCTTTCCAATGAAGTCGAATGACTCATTGGTGATGAATTATCATTTTGAAGGACATCTTACATGTTTGATATGTTATTTTTCTTAGGAATGATGAAATTCTTGCATCATATTTAACCCGTTCTCTCCAAGAATCAGATGAGTTCAGTTGTACTTTTGCTTTCTGATGTTGATGCAAACATATTGTTAAGGGTTTCATGTACTATCAACGAAAAAAAGCAAAAGACAAGAATGTATTATTGTTGTGTTGATCAATACGGAATGCATGGAATAAATATATATATGGAATTTTTGTTATTTACTTTGTTTATGGAAGTATTTTTAGACAAGAGGAAAGACTTGTATAAGTAAGATACAGTCAAAAATAATACATTTTCAGCTATTACTTATATGAACAGATAAGCAAGAAAAAAAAATTGATAGATTTTTTTTTTTATTCGTCAATATTTTTATTCAAAAATAAATTTAGAGAAGAAGTCAGTTCTATTGAAGATTTCTCTAATGAAATCTTTTATAATATATTTGATTATGTTGATGGTTGTCATTTGTATGAATCATTTATAAATGTTAACAGTTGTTTTCAAAATTTTCTCCCAAAATCTCTTCTACCTCTTAAAATCAATATTGATTCGAAACATGAAATGATTATTGAACATCAGTGTAAGACTATTATTAAGAAAAATAAATCTCATATTATTTCAATTAATTTATTAACTACGAAAGCTGTCCAACAATTTTTAAAACAAGTCAATATCAATATCTTATTCAATTGTTTACAATCACTTGTTATAAATGGTATTGTTGAACATAAAATTCAATTAATTGTTAAACAACTAGCTTATTTACCTAATTTTTCTTCATTAAAAATTTTTCTTATTGAACAACTCGAGTCCTTCGATACAATTTCTAAATTAATATTTTTGGTTTACCTTATTTAAAAATATTTTTTCCTATTTTATGGCCTATAGACTATACCTATTAGATTGCCATTTGCCACCAATGAACAACTAAACTCTATTGAATATTTAAATCTTGATATTTTTATAACTGTCAACAATTACATAGTTCAAATTTACATACTCAGATAAATAAAAGATTTGTATTGCCTAATTTAAGACATGTCATTTAGTACGGATGTTGTTTACAGTTTTTAGAATTTGAAATATTTATCAAGAAGATTGGTTCTCAAGTACGAATGTTATGTTTCACTACATATGATAATCCAACTTATCTTAATGCTAATCGTTGGCAAAAATTGATTTTTACAATATTTACAATATTTAAGAAAATTTGAATTTCAATATGATGAAAAAATTTTCCCAAATTTTCAATTAGAAAAACATCATCATTTTGGCTTAATTGACAATGGTATTTACAATTACAAATTGATGCATTAACTTTTTTCTAATAACCGAATAACATATTCAATTCATTAAAACACGGATAAACATAAAATAGAAAATAAAATATTTTCTCTCAAATTTTATTTTTGCGTTTTAGAAAAAAACTGATGTTGTGTAGATATGATTCTATAAATAAATGTCAAATATAATCAATGAAATAATTCTATTGATAATATAAATTCACAAAAT